TTCAGTGGGTTCTTGCATTTTTTTTGAACAGTCAGACTCTTTTTGTGATTTGAAAGCTTGAAGAACATGTTTATATCATTTTAAGTTAAATGGAAAAAATTAAAATCTTATTTTGAAACCATTACATGTTATCAACAAAATACAAACACAATGAAAAATATATTAATACAACCATTGAAAAAAAATTACGCATTTACTCTTTCATATTTTTTTGTGTACACGCTTTAAAGTAGGAAAAAAAACCCACCTATATAATTGAATTTACTATCTTTAATAAGAAGGTATAATGCTCTGACAAATAATAGTTGCACTCAACCCTTTAGTGTTTGCGGGGAAAAACCTTCCCAAATGAATGATGTTAATAAGATTAATGCTCAGGAGTTGTGATGAAAAAATATTCCATCTTGGATTAAGTTTTCTACACTGCTGGATTTATACTTTTTAATATCTTCTACATTTAGAACATAAAATAGACATTTAAAAGTTTCAGGCAAGGACAGCTGATAAAAAAATAAATGTGGCGTAAAGAAAAAAAGTTGTTTAGCAAAAATGTTGAGAATAACTGAGCCTTGTAATAGACCTTCTCAGACCAGGATTTGGTAACACAAATGATGACAATACAGCAAAAAAAGCACTTGTAGATTCAGAAGTTTTTGCTAACACCATTGATCCAATGTCATGTGTATAGCAATTCAACTTGCACGCATACATTGAGCCAGCGTAAGTAAAACCATTGCGAACATCGGCTATTATATATATATATATATATATATATATATATATATATATATATATATATATATATATATATATATATATATATATATATATATATATATATATATATAGACAAACTTTTTTAATTTTAAAACCATATACTAATAAAAAAACTTGCTTCGACTCTAACCATCTTCAGTCAACATTAGTTATCTTTACTTGCAGTTAAATATTCAAACTTGTAAAATACCTATAAAAATGTTTCATAATGACAAAATTTGCCAATATAAAAAAAAAAAATTTATACTTTAATTGAAGTGTTTATACTTGAAGTGCTGATTTTATAAAATCTGGATCTTCTATATCTATTAATTTAGTTGGTAGCATAAAAGAAAATAAATTTAAAACTTCCTGCATCTCTTCAAATCTGTTGTTTATCTTATTTATAACTACATCTAAAACTTTACATCATACGATGAAAAAGATGTTGAGACATGAACATGTGATCTTCATGTTCAAAGATCTTCATTATTAAAACGATGATCGCTTGATACTTAATCAAATTGACTTTTTTTCTCTCCCAAAAAAAGTTGGATAAATATTCCTTTCTTAAATTTTTTAAAGAAAAAATCGTAGATAAATTTAAAGAAACAAAAAGAAACACACAAAAAGAAATTAAATTAAAATTAAAGAAAAATTGAAAAAAATAAACAAGGAAATCTAAGAAAGTTAAAGTAACGTAATAAAAAAGAACGAAGAAAAAAAAAACAACAACAATCAAATCGTATCTATATCTTATCGTCCTATCTCAGTTCTACCAGTCTTTTCAAAAATGTTAGAAAAAATAATGTATAACAGATTGTACACTTATCTTATTGACAATAAACTTCTTTATAAAAATCAGTTTGGTTTTTAAAGAAAAAGTTTTACTGAACACGCTATTCTCCAAGTAACGCGCAGTATTGCCGACTCTTTTAAGAATTCTCAATTTACTCTTGGCATATTTATTGATTTGTCAAAAGCTTTTGACACTGTTAATTACCATATTTTATTGAAAAAGCTAGAAAGCTATGGTATAAGAGATGTAACCCTAAACTGGTTTAAAAGTTATCTAAGTAACCGTAATCAATTTGTTTATAACAAAGAATCTTCGACTCAATTTTTAACGAATGTAACATGTGGTATTCCCTAAGGATCCATACTTGGGCCACTCTTATTTTTTATATACATAAATGATCTTTACAAAGTTTCTAATTTAGCGACTATAACTTTTGCTGACGATACGAGTTTATTTCAGTCCAACGAAGACATTAAAATACTCTTTAACAATATGACTGAGGAACTTAAAAACATTTCATATTGGTTAAAAAAAAAATAGGTTGTCTTAAATACCGATAAAACAAAATGGATAAGAGAAAAAAATACAAAATTCAAACAAATTGATAATATTTCAATGAAAATTGCTAAAAGCATTGGAGTTCTATATAAAGTTAGACATATATTAAATAAACATCAATTAACATAACTATATTATTCATTTATTCATTGCCATTTAAATTATGCAAATATAATATGGGGAAGCGCTCACAAAACCAAACTTAAATCTCTCTATCGACATCAGAAACACGCAGCTCGCACAATTAATTTTGCAAATCGTTTTTCAAGCTCAACACCACTTCTTAAAGAAATGAAAGTTTTGAATATTTACGAACTAAATGTTTTGAAAATTTTATGTTTTATGTTTAAATGTAAAGAAAATATATCACCTAATGTATTTATAAATCTTTATAGTTTAAAACCTAAAAACAAATATAATCTTTGTGCCAGTAAAAGTATCGAAGAGCCATTTTGCCAAACTAAATTTGACCAGTTTTGTATTTCTTATCGTGGTTCTTCTCTTTGGAATAAAATAATTTTACCTAATTTCGATTTTTCTTTTAAATGGTCTTACTCTTCTTTTAAACGGAAAGTAAAAGAAATTATCTTTTCAACACAAAATATTTATATCTATTTTTAGTATTTAAGTTATTTTTTTTATTTATTTTGATTTATACTTTATTTTGTTTATTATATAGACTGAGAATATTGTATTCTTTTTGTAATATAGATTGTAGATTGTAAAGGGCTTCATGATAAGATCCTGTGATCTTCTAGAAGTCCTGCCGGTAATATATTCAATGTAAATTTACTTTGTACATATTTTGGCTAATAAAAAAAAAAAAAAAAAAAAAAAAAAAAATCAAAATCAAAATTCGAATAAAATAACGCTTATGAAAATGTTTTTAAATATATATTTTTTGAAATTGTTATGTTTTTAATTTATGGTTACTATACGTCCTCTGTGAAATATATTAAAACATGGTTACTATACGTCCTCTTTTCCCCAGATCTGTCGTCTTTTATGTCTTAAAAAAATTTGACTGGGGAAGTTTCTTCAATTATACGCAAATGTCTGGATTTTCACTTGAAGAGTAACCAATCTAGGTTTCTGTTCAGGTGTAGAAAAGTCTTTTTTTTTTTTTTTTTTAATATTTACGGTACTGATAGTATCATAAATATTAAAAATATTTAATAGAAATTTGTGAGTTCAAATTTTAAAGCGTTATGACATTAGCAAGTGAAAAAAAAAAAAAAAAATTCATAATTGAAATTTGAAGTGTTTTGGACCTTAATACGAAACCCTCATAATATTGAAAAAACGCAAAGTTCTTACTTATTTAATTCTTATTATTTACTCTAAGTTTTATATTTGAACCATTTTAAAATGCAAAATATTATACAAAAAAATTTGTTGAGGATTGGTTTTAACATATGGTTTTAACCTATTTGAGTTTATTCATAAGCTCGCTAAAGCGCGTAGCTTATGAATAAACTCAAATAGGTCAACCTGCCCCGGTCTACACTATAATTCAAGTGTTATTTTGAGTTTACACAAATTTTTGTTTAGATCCCTAACACGTGTAATATTTTATACTCTCTATTGTTTTTGAGAATTGTTTTTTAAAAAGTAAAAAAGATATTTAGTTTACGGGAACTATGAACCTTAAAAAATGCAATAAGAAGTTATAACGTCATTTTTTTATTTCCTGTAAAATTTTTTTATTTCCTGAAAAAATTTTTTTATTTCCTGTAAAAAAAAAAAAAAAAAAACTTTGTCTTACTAATATTACGAAACGATTTTTTAAACTGGAAAATACTTGAATCAACGTTTTGATTTTAAAAGAACTAAATACATTTGTTTATCGTAAGTAAATCAAATTGCAAGTCAATAATTGTCTTTTGTATTATTTTAATTAATTTAACAGTTTTAAAAGCGTTTTTGGAGTTTATTTATATCCGCAAAAACATACTTAAAAGATCTTCCATATGAGGAAAAAGTGAGAGGAAATATCTCCTGAGTTATTGATCCTTAGGAAATGTGTTTTGCCGTGTTTTGTAACGCGCTTGCTCCCATAAAGTCAGCAAGTGAAGGCGCTATCGGTCGGAAATGCAAAACTAAAAGTTTTTTCCATGATTTCTTTTTTAAAACATTCATTAGAGTAAACTTAAATGTCGTTTATAATAACTAACATAAGCAAAAACTGTAGTCTAATTATATTTAAGTCGATGTCTCATCATATTTTTTTATTCAAATAATATACGAATTGATATGCGTATAATTATGAAAAGTTGATTGACATTACTCGACTTTATAGGCATTATAATATAATGCCTATAAAGTCAAGTAATGTCAATGAATTTTTCATAATTATATGACATATAATTTATATTGTATTATATAACATATAATATGACATATAATTTATATTATATAATATAATATATATATATATATATATATATATATATATATATATATATATATATATATATATATATATATATATATATATATATATATATATATATATATATATATATATACATAATTATATGACATAATTTATACATGACATATAATTTATATGTAATGTAATGTAAAATTAACTTAACAGAAAAAAAAAAATTAAAGTTATTAAAAGCTTAGTTTTTTTTTTAGATTGATTTAAATGTAAAATTGATTTAAATGTTTCATAATATATTTTAAAGTGAAGTATAAAAATAAAAAATGACAAATTTTTCAGCAAATCAAACTTCTAAGTTGATGACTAAGTTGTCTTATTTTAACGATGTGTTATATCAAATATATAATATAGAATAATATGGAATAATGTTAATATTATTATTAATAATCTACAATAATACAATTAATGATAAAAATATAGCATTCTTATTTTTTAGAACCAACTGCAACCCTCAATAAAAAAAATCAACTAATTTTTAATTTTTCGGGAAATGTGTTGTTTATAATGAACTTTTTCAAAAATATTGTTATTCGTAACAAACCCCGACCAAATGAAGAAACTACAGCTATACAAAGAGATCAAGGTTTATGTATTCAGCATTTAAGAAAATTATTTTTGGAGTTTCTCCACCCAACAGGCCCTATTAGTGTAGAGCAACAAGAACTTAAACAGTATCAGATGCTCCCTGTTTTCATCAAAGCTTTTAGTGATCTGCCTAAACCTAATAATTTTTCTGATAAATTTGGAGATGTTTTACAATTTGCTGGACACACTTCAAAGCTTATTGTATCTGAAGTTCAGCGTCGGGCTGCAAATAAAAGCAATTTACAAGCAAGCAAAGATATAATTGTTTTTCTATGCAGAAATAATGATGAATCTGAAAACAAAGGTTGGAATTTACTTCAGACATTGTTGATCCTTGCTGATGGAGAGCTTGCGATTATTGAATGTATGGTAGCAGCAACCTTACAGTCAACTCTTGTTAAATGCCTCAAATTGTTTTTCTTTTTGCCATTTGATTTTGGTTCATATGAAAAATTTGTAGAAGTGCAAAAATTACTGGTTCCTATTCTTGTTAAATTATGCAGTTATCCGATTACAGCAAAAGAGTTAGTTCGAACTGATGACATGGCCACATTGTTTGAAACACTGACTAGTAGTTGTAAAAGTGAACATATGATATGGAGAAGTGGAATATCTGAAGTTTTGGCTTCAATCACACGTCATTGCTTTACAAATGATGTTATAAGTTATATCAATGGTATGGATCTTTATTTGTTGCTTATTAAAAGTTTAATAAGGTTCTTTTTTTAAATTAAACTAGTAATATTTAATACTTAATTTAATATATATATATATATATATATATATATATATATATATATATATATATATATATATATATATATATATATATAATATATATATATATATATATATATATATATATGTATGTATATATATACATATATATATGTACAATACAAGGTCAGGTCAGGTTTTCCTGCTACTGGTAACATGTAACCCAGTACAACCTGCTCCATGTCCTGCTGCCTTGTAGGATACGCTTTTTTAGGCAAAGGCTAGGAGAAGTTAACTCCGAATTAAAACACCCCCTGCCTTGGGGCTCTTGGTTGAGTAAAGGCTAGAGATGGTGTCTCGATAAAAATACTCATCTTGGGCAGATGTTACATGCATCCAGCTGCTGTCTTGTAGAAGGCCTCCTAGGCAAAGACTTAAGGGGTAAACAGATTCTATCTGTTGACCAGCCTCGCACCCCTTCCTCATCTATTAGGCTGGCGCAGATGTATTTTTAATACATTGTTTCCAGTTTAGGATGTTGAACGCTGGATCTTCTTGACTCAATGCGTGGGTATTGCTTGTGTCTCTATTTTTACGACTGGGCAACTCATTCTATTATCTCCTAATGAGGGTACAGCTCTAAAACTCAGTTTTATGGTTCTGAGGCCGGCTGGTAGTCAGGTTTCCCGAACTCTGTGGTAGCTCTCAGAGAGGCTGATTCCATCAACAGCCGAAAAATATCAGAGTACTAACAGTGCCATGTTGCGCATGGATGGTGTCCCTGTTTGTACTTTTGGTGTGCATTGCAGAGGCCACATTTGGAGCCCTTTGTTACGGCTTAGGGTTTATTAATAGTAATAAGGCTATTGCTTAGTTGTTAAATAGTGTACTGAGTACTATCTATACTTGAGTCAAGTTCTTTATAAATTTAAAATGACTAATGTACCTAAAACTAAAAAACACAAAAAACCATCGTCATCACCAAGTTCTCTAAACCTATCATTTACTAATATTCGTGGTCTTCGAAGTAACTTTTCTTCAAATTGAGTCTTATCTCTTGCAAAGTTCACCAGACCTACTTGCTCTTTGTGAGACTAATTTGAGTTCGGCTGTCCCATCTTGTGATCATAGTGTTGATGGTTATCTTCCTTTAATTCGTAAAGACTCCAATAATCACATGCTTGGCCTGGGCATCTACATTCGTAAGAACTCACCCATTTGTTGTGAAACTAGGTTTGAATCTACAGACTATTCATTTATGTGCTTTCGTTTAGCACAACTTCACTCTATCGCCTTTCTCTTTGTTCTATATCGCTCTCCTTCATCCCAAGATTGCACTATTCTTGATGTTATTTCTGATCAAATTGACCAAGCCCTCTCTCTCTATCCATCGGCCAATATCGTTGTTGTTGGTGACTTTAATGCCCATCACATCGATTGGCTTGGCTCTAGTGTCAGTGACTCTGCTGGCGTTAAGGCCCTCAACTTTTGCCTTTCTCAATCTCTAACTCAAATAGTCAACTTTCCAACTCGTTTTCCAGACAACCCTAATCATTTACCTTCTCTACTCGACTTATGTCTTGTTTTGGATCCTAGTCAGTGCTCAATTTCTCCACATTCACCCTTAGGTACTTCTGATCACGGTTTGATCTCTCTAAAACTATTACCAAATTCTTCTACTTCATCAGAATCCCCCTATCATCGTACCACATACAACTACCTTAAAGCTGACTGGGACTCTTTCCGTGATTTTCTTCGTGATGGCCCTTGGGTAGAAATCTTTCGTCTTCCTGCTGACAAATGTGCTTCTTACATAACTTCGTGGATTCAGGCTGGCATGGAATCTTTTATTCCCTCTCGACGATTCCAGGTCAAGCCTCACTCTTCTCCTTGGTTTTCCTCACATTGCACTGCAGCAATTTCTAATCGAAACCGTTACTTCCATATCTATCAGCAAAACAATTCTCCAGAAAACAGACATCTGTTCACTATCGCCAGAAACCATTGTAAAAAGGTTTTGTCTGACGCCAAAGCTCGCTATTCCCAGGTCATTAAATCTCGTATCTCATCACAAAAATTAGGCTCTCGAGACTTCTGGAGAATCTTTAACAGTATCAATAATAAGGGCAAATCTGTTATTCCTTCTCTCTTGTATGGTTCAGACTTTTCCACTAGTTGCGTTTTACCTGACATAGCCGTCAAACAGGTTGATCCCTTGCTTGACATTCGCATTACTTCAGCTTCTGTATCTAAAGTAATTTCCTGCTTAGACTCTTCAACAGCTTGTGGTCCTGATAACATTCTTGTTGTAGTCTTGCAGAGGTGTTCTCCGGAGCTTTTATCCATACTTTCTAAACTATTTAACAAGTGCTTATCAGAGTCTTGTTTTCCATCATGCTGGAAAGCAGCATCTGTTATCCCTATTTTCAAAAATTCCGGAGAGCGATCTGATTCATCTAACTACCGTCCCATTAGTCTTCTTCCTGTCATAAGCAAGGTTTTTGAATCTTTAATCAACAAACACTTAATCTCTCATCTTGAATCAAATAACTTACTTTCTGATCATCAATATGGATTTCGGTCTTCTCGTTCTACAGCTGATGTGCTAACAGTAATAACCGATAGGTTTTACCGTGCATTAGATAGAGGTGGAGAGGTTAAGGCTATCGCACTTGACATTTCTAAAGCTTTTGATAAAGTTTGGCATGTTGGTCTTCTCCATAAGCTTTCTTCTTATGGTGTAGCTGGTAACGTCTTTAAGATTATTGAGTCCTTTCTTTCCAATCGTAGTATAAAAGTTGTCCTCGATGGACAACACTCTTCTTCACATCCTGTAACTTCAGGGGTTCCTCAAGGTTCAATCCTTGGCCCTATACTTTTTTTAATTTACATTAACGATCTTCCAGATATTCTCACATCTAAGGTGGCATTATTGGCTGACGACACTACCATTTACTCTTGTCATGATAAGAAGCCTACACTCTCTGATTGCTTGGAGGGGGTATCTGAGCTTGAAAAGGATCTCACTTCTGCTACAGCATGGGGCTCACAGTGGCTGGTGAACTTTAATTCAGATGAAACTCAATTTTATTCGGCCAATCGTTATCGTAATAATTTAGATCTTCCTATATTTATGAATGGTAATGTACTAGATGAGTCATCTACCATTCATCTTCTAGGATTAACTCTTACTTCTGATCTTTCTTTTAAACCGTATATCAAATCCATTGCAAAATTAGCATCTGCTAAGGTTGCATCTCTTTATCGAGCTCGACACTTTCTTACTCCAGATTCTATTCTCTATCTCTATAAATCTCAAATCCGTCCCTGTATGGAATACTGTTGCCACATCTGGGGCGGATCTTCTAGTGATGCTCTTTCTCTTTTAGACAAGGTGCAAAAACGAATTGTAAACATAGTTGGACCTGCTCTGGCAGCCAATCTCCAACCTTTGTCACATCGTCGTAATGTTGCTTCTCTTTCTCTTTTCTACAAATACTATAATGGGCACTGCTCTAAGGAGCTAGCGTCCCTTGTGCCATCTACTAAAATTCATTCTCGTGTTACTCGCCATTCAATTAAGTCTCATCCTTTTTCTGTGACTGTTCCTAAGTGCTTCAAAAACTCTTATTCTTCTAGTTTTTTTCCTCGAACATCAGTTCTTTGGAATTCGCTTCCTTCATCTTGCTTTCCGGATTCATATAATTTGCAATCTTTTAAGTCATCAGTCAATCGTTATCTTGCTCTACAGATTTAGTCTTTTCTCTTCCAGTAACTTCCAACTCTTATAGTGGTTGCTTGCAGCCTTGTTGGAAGTGAAGATGTTAAAAAAAAAAAAAAAAAAAAAAAAAATACTAATATTAAAAATAGTATTAATACTAATATTAAAAATATAATTTTTAAATCAATAATGTATATTGTAAATCAAATAGGGTTTTTATTTTCAAAGAAAACTACTGGCAATTATTTTCCATGTTTAATTTAAAATCAAAATACATTATCAAATGACCCTTGAATATATTTTCTAAAACATATTTACTATTGATGGAACCTTGAAAAAATTTAAAAGTTTTCATTTAAAAGTTTATTTTTATTTATACTATTTTGTTTATATTATACTATTTTATTTATAGTATTATTCTATTATTTATACTATTTTAAAAACTTTTAGTATTTTTATTTCGTATTTATTAGAACAATGCATTAGGCATTGAGCATACATTCTACTAAATACTATCTCTTAAATTGAGTTTATTGAACTTTTGGATCAATCTATCCTTGGAAAACTAAAATTATCAATTATGATTAGATCTTTGAAACCTTTTAATATATTGTTATTATATACTTTTATTTTAAAAAAGACAGTGATAATGATGTCTTGAAAATTTATTGAGCGTTTTATTGAAGGATAAATTTTTTACGTTAGTAATTGAAACATTTATAATAAGGTTTGGAAGATTTCGATTAAAGTTTGGATTTTTTAGAAGGTAGATTATAACTTCTGAATTTAAATTAGTTATTGAAAACAATAGGCGTGCTACTTTTAATGATGTCCCATGAAAATTACTGTTTAACAAGTATATAACTTCATCTAACTTCAAAATATTTAACAAACTATAAAATAAGTCTGGGTTAAAACAGCTTGGGTGAAAATAGTAAGTGACCGGTGTTGAAATTTGACTGTGGCCAGGGCCGGGTTCAATTTAAAATAGCTGGGTGCAGGTTTGTGACCAGCATTGCATAAACATTAATACATCCTAAAGTATATTTCCAAGTAAACTTTATATTATATATTAGTTAACAAATCTTGTACTTGGGTTTTCAAAAAAAAAATCTTCAATTAAATTTTTTTACATATGTTTTTAAGAAAATTTTCTTTGCTAGATATATTTACTAAATCGAATGTCTAAAAAATATAAACTTTGCTTTTGAAACGAAAAAGATTTTTGGAAGTTTGGT